GGGGGGGCATGTGCCAGATGTGCCTGTCACGCAGGGAAAAGCTGATGTGAGGGAGTGCTGCAACGGAGCTGTGAAGCAGTCGGGAACGGGGATGCCGTCCTTGGGGAACGGGCGGCAGACGGGGGAAGAATGGTTCAGGCTCTGGGTTAAGTCTAAGGACACAACTGTGACAGAGAGGGAGATTAAGGCGGGGTGACTATTGTTTTTATTTTAACTTCGTGGGCCCAGTCAAGGCCTGAGCTTCTTGCCTCAAATCTTGCCTCAGATTCGTGAGGCCATGAAAAGGAAGTTTTCCACAAATGCAGTTTTGCAATTGTCGGCTCTAGTTAAATTCAGGGATGCACTCTCAAGTCATTTCCCGCCCCACCTCCCCACTGCTGACCTTCACTGCTACCTGTCTAGGTACCGTCACTCCCGAAGGTGTGCTGATGTGTATCACTAATACGTGCACGCCTATCACCAGGCAGAATTGTTACAGAGATTAATTTCAGTTCATTTTGGTGACGAATAGGGGAGAGAGCACTGCATGTCAATGAAAAAAAAAAAAAAAAGACAGGATTATTTTTACCTCTCTCAGTCACATATGGCTGAGGATGTGAAATGTTCCTTGACTACAAGGAAGGAGCAAGCTGGGACTCGGCTCCCACCTAAGCAGCTGCCTTTTCCAGGCAGCCCCAACCCTCCGCAGCTGCACCCCGGCCTGGGGAACTGGGCTCAGGCTTTCAGATGATGCTATTCGGTAGCCCCTGAAGCCAAAGACCCCAAAACTATGACGGTCTTCAAGGAGGTCGCTGCAGGGAGCGAGGCTGGTGGCAGCAGCATGCCAGGCTGGCGTTGCCGGCTGCTCCGCCGGCGAGGTGGCTGCAGGGAGGGAAGGTGGAGGTCCCTGTCTCTGGGCGATGCACGGGGACGGAGCGGGTGGGAAGGTGCTCTGGCCTCGCTGCAGGAGGGAGCCAGGAGGGGATCAGGAGAAGTGGTTCGTCTTCTCCAGTGGCTAATTGCTGCCAATAGCCAACGCAACGGCTTCAGAGGAAGGAGGAACAAGACATTCCTTAGAAGGCGATTTTTGGACTAATCTGCCTGTGGGGATCTTTGCCCCCCTCCCATTTATTCTTCTTTGTATAAGAATTTCTCTCTTAAAACCCATATTAGTGTGCACTGCCAATGTAACTCACATATAGCAAATACAACTGCAAATGTTCTTTTCTTTCAGGTACATTCCTGTGCCTTTCTTGAAAGTCTCTCTGCATCTGCGATTTTAGTGATATTTTGGAACAGCGAGTTCCCCGGGTGATTGTGCACAGTGCATTAGAACAACAGTATTTTGCTTATTCTTATACATGTGCTGCCGTTCAGGTTTATTGACTGTCCCTTTGTTCTCTTTTTATGTGAAAAGTGTAAATAGGAGTACTTATATGTACCTTCTTTGTGCCATTTGTTATTTCGTACACTGCCATTATGTTGCTTTTTACTCACTTCTTCTAGAAATTAAAATAATTTCAAGTCTAACTAGACTCTATTTCTAACCTTCTTACTTTCCCATCTCAGAAATGCTCCCCTCCTCTCTTTTTGATGTGTCCTTTGGGAGGTGATGAGAGGCAGCAATGCCAGAAGACCTCCTGTTCCTTCCTATCCGAGCATTTGGACACAGTTCCCTGCAACTTTCTCTCCTGATCTTTATCCAGTTCTGTTCTTCGTTTGTTTAGGGTTTTGGGGGTAATAATGTATATTTGCAACACCCAGTAGAGGACTGTGGTGAGGTGCCCATGGCTCTAGCTGGGTTTTCTCTTTCAGAGGTGACAGCTGATCTGGACTTCCCTGGTTTTCACAAGCATCACCGCCTTCCTCCCAGGGAGCCCTACCCAGGCTGTGTCCTTGGGAGGAACATTTTCCCCCCACTCTGACCCGTTCCCCTGGCTTTGGTGGTGCCCTTGGCAATCCTTGTCACCCCTAGTTGGGCTTTGTTGTCGGGGACACCTCGTCTGCCATGTGTGGTGAGCAGCCCTGGGCTGGGGGATGCTGCTGGCTGGGGAATGGAGCCATGCAATGTTTGCCCAGTCCTCATCCTGCTTTTGGGGTTTTTGTTTCTTGGCTAGTGCCTAACCCATGACCCTTCTTTGCCTCTCCAGAATAGCTCTTTCACAAAGGTCTTTGTCAAAACCTTTGCAAGTATCCACAATAATTGTATCAAAGATATCTCTTCTTGCTAGGACTTTGATGTACCAAAAGCTTTAAAATAGATTAAAGGAACAGGCTTTTCTGTTCCACAAACCAGTCGACTTTGTTTCCTGCCCAGTGAAGTGTATTCACCCTCTAGAGCACAACAGGCTAAACCCGAGCAGAATAATTACCCTTGCTACCTGCCACTGGGCCAGTGCACAACACGCCCGTGCACTCGTGCCGTTTGCTGTCATTCAATGCAATCCAAGCCCAGTTAGCGGACAAATTGCTTCCTGCCACTGGAGAAGAGGCCGTTCGCTCACCCAAGTGAACCCGGTAGTGTGGCTGCTTCTTCTCTGGTTTTGGCCCGGAGAGCAGTGCTGCACCATGAGGTTGCTCTGCCAGCTTGCAGCAAGCCGCAGAAGGGGGCACAGCCATAGGAAACAACAACCCAGACAGGTTTGCCATTTCACTTACTCTCATTACATTTTTCTTTTAATGCTTTCTGCTTTCTGGATGACATGAGCAGCTTGAGCACGGTCAGATGGGAAAATGCTGGATGCTATAAACGCACTGCAATGGCTTATGGTAGCATTAAACTGCAAAATCAGGATAAGGAAAATGCTCTACCCCACCAGCTGAGTCATGCAATACCCAGCAAAGGCTGGGGAGAGGCGAAGGGGACACTGAGGCACCCTCCCACCAGCCCAGCCCTGGTTCCCCACTCCTCAGCACAATTTGAGCC